AATCCTGCAGCGTTCTCACCTTCCCTGGCGACCGGCGTTTGTCGCGCGGACACCGATGAGGTCAACTTCAAAGAACTTTCATGGAAACGTGATTCAACGTCCAGTCGCCATGTAATTTTCAAGAGAGAGAGAGAGAGAGAGAGAGAGAGAGAGAGATAGCGCTGATTGCAAACGTTTACTTTATTTTATTTGGATGAACAAATCTAAGGGAGCAAGCATCTTCGTGTAGATGAGATCGAACTTTCTCTGGTGTTATTAAATGTTACATCTTCTATGAAGAATCATTTCCTTCATCGAAGAAATGTTAATATTAAAGCTTGGATAAATATTCTCATCTACAAAGGATTCTTCAGTAATATCCCATTACCAGTCTATCAATGTTTAACATAATGCTTCTTTGAAGTTACGTTCATTGAAAATCGTCACCTGTATTTCACGAGACATCGCGAGCACGGATCGGCGGCGTCATAAATTTTCATACAAGCCCGGCCCCGAATCCACGAAGACGTTAACAGAGCCCAGCGATTCCGCTTGAATATTTTCCAGCGAGCACCGGCGTCATTTTCGCGAGATGCAGCGGGGCATTGCAGCCGGAGAGTGCACTCGTTAAAAACTTTTCGCTGCATTCATTCGAATGCACTCCGTCAAAGTGCGATGCGAGGGTCAGACGAGAGAACTCCGGTGAAAAGATGGGAGATTTCCGTATCGCTCGTCGTCGCCGGGACGACGACCCAAGTTATCGCGGCGCCCTGTACATCGTCATTATCTTTCCCGTTCGCGCGCTTTTCCGACGAGGAAATTCTTTCGTGGCAGCCGGAGCGACGGAAATCACGGGACGCGGAAAAACGACCCGACAGAGGCTCGCCCGCAGAAAGTGCACTTCAATTTCGCTGTTCGCGTGAATCGCAATCGTCTCTCGCGGCGCGCATCGTTCTCCCTTTTCCGGTCTCGCTTTGCGACCGCGAGTGACACGTAAACAATGGGGCTACAATGCCCACGGAACCCGAGGCTGCCTCTCGCAAAGTGAAAACCATCGTTAATTTCACTTGTTCCTTTACCTCTCCGAGAATCGTAATTAATTCACGCAATATCTTTGATCTTCTCATTTGAAAATTAAAACCGGAAAACTTCTCTTAGTCCGATACGGCTTGCAAAAAGTATTCGACGCCGAATCTGTTACACGGGAAACCTCGAAATTCCATTCAAAATCGATTGAAACTTTTCCAATTGATCTTTCATTCCGCGAACTCCATTTCGCGGAACGCGGCTAGGTTTAACAGAAATCCAACGCTTGAAAAGGCGAACGGTGTAAGTCACACCGCGCTCAGACCCAGTTTGCCAACTGGGATATATAAAACTGCAAGACCGTGGGGCTCCCTCGAACGCCGTACCACAAAGGCACGCACCCAAACAAGAAAAAATTCCAAAGCGACCGGTGACAAAGGGGGCAGAAGTGCGAGAGCCTGTCGGTTCGCACGAGGAAGCTGCTGCGTGGCGTGTTCCCTTACGTCAGCTTGAACGCGGCCTTTTTTTCGGCCGGTCTCCAGGTTCGAGGTGCACCGAGAGAATGCGCCGTGCCGCGCCGGTTGCAGGCGCAGCTGCGGCGACACGCGGCCGCGGTTAGGACGCGCGGCCGTGTTTCACGGAACCCGTGGGGCCCCCGTTGTTGTTTGCCGTGGCGGTTTTTATCGGGGCCCGCGCGTAGTATGCGTCCGTACACGATGCTACCCGGTTCACCGTCTCTCTCGGCGCGAATGCTGATCGAGCCTCGATGACGCCGTATATCGATTACCCGCCGCTTACGGCGTTACCGGGACACGCTTAATTAACGGCGAACAAACTGCACCGGTGAACCAGACGTGTCCTAGGTTAATCGTGACGCGCGGCACGGTACGGCAATGGTGAGAAATTGCTCCCGATCCTATAAAGTCTACGATTTCTTTCGTCCACCGTGCGCCAGGAACTTCCATTCTCCCGTGACCGGTGATTTTGTTCTCGTTTAAGACGAACACTTTGAGATCCTTTACGGTTAGGGGAGAACGGCCCTTCACCGACACCGTGAAATCGGCATTTGAACGCGCCGCTCGGCCAACGCCCGCGTTTTTACGGCGGCTCGTCTATGGATTTCTTTCGTTGAATCGAACCACTGCAGGCTGCTCCACTGTGTTACCTTTAGCGCCCCTGTGTTTCGTTTTTCGACTCGTCGCCGTGACGAACCGTGCACTAACGATTCGTGCGTTCCACGAGCGCTATTAATACGGGGCTGGTGTTTCTTAAAGACTCCCGTGTTTCTCTGCCCTATTCGTTGCCCGGTGAAATTCTAAGATCATTTTTATGCATCAGGAATTATTCACTGATATATCATCATATTCGAAGCGAATGCAGTTCATTCGAATTGTTCCAATTACCAAGATTACTATCAATATTATCATATCGTTGGAATGTGCAACGTATTCGACGAACTCCTAGAAAGTTCATCCGAGATCGAGGCACGAATCTTCGCGGAAGTCTCGCGGTAGAGCTAGACCATATCGGAGGCATAGTAATCACATTGTCGCCGAAGAAATCGTTCCCAGTGATATATTGTGTTTCAGCAAGAAACCCATCGTCGACGCGGCGTTCGCGGAAAGTCCTAACAGCGCTCTAAAATGGCATTGTGGCGCGTCGGTATGGAACTAATGAACTCACGACGGGGCTTTCACGGACAGAGTTATTACAGCCCCCTTCCCCGAGCTGTACGGCTCCGCTCGTCCTTGCCCCCGTGCTGGTCCTCCGCTTCGTTCCCCGGGGTACTTCTCGCCGCGTTCTTCCTCCTCCGAGACGTATCCCGCCTGCGCCCTCCGTCACCGACCCGGACACCACGATGCTGGCCGGTATTATGGCAGATCTATCGTTCCTCCGTCTAAATAAGCCCGGACCTAGTTTTACGAGCCTTTCTTCTGGCTGTTATTCTTCTTAGCAGCTCTTTTTATCTCGTTCGAGCGTCTCACACCGCTTCCTCCGTCCCTCTTCCTCTCTTCTCTCTCTCCCTTCCTCCCGATGCACGGTTGTCTGCGTCTGTGCCGCGAGTCGTAATTGGCTCGCTATCGTAGACACTAACCGTGAATCGCGAAACATTACTCCCGAATTTCGAATGACACTCCGAAAACATTTCAGTCTCCTTTCCATCTCCCTGGTCATTAGTATTTTTCACCGAGTCGCTATCAATTCAAGAAGCTCCACGCATAAGACTCAACTTTCCAGACTCGGTCCTGAGATCCAACTCTTCAATTCCAGGCAGCAATCTACGGTTTCCCAAAGTTCCTACCCCCGGTTCCACGTAGTCCGGTTTCCACCGAAAAGCCTCGCAGCGTTCCGGAGTCACCGTGTTCTACACAATTACTCGATGCACTCCGTTCATTCCGGCGCAGCGATTGTCGAGATATCCCCCGGCCCACTTACTCCGCCCGGCTGAAACAAAATTATTCAGCAGGCTGAGCCTGCGAGAAACGAGTCGCCCCGCCACTTCAGCCATTTTCGCGGCCGTTAAACCGAGAGCCGGCTGGGGAAAAAAGATCCGTCTCCCGGAAGGCGGAGAGGCCACGGTGTCGCGGAGAAAAGAGGCGAGCCACCTCCGCCCCCTCGGAGGAGGAAGAAAGTCGCGACCGTGAATTCGCTAATTTGCTTTGAAAAGAAATCCTCCGTGCCGGCGGATTTTCCGCGGGATAAATTCCTGTTCCTCCGTGGCCGCCGCGGAACAGATGGGGAAGAGAGGATCGGCGAAGAGGAGCAGGAGAGGAAGGCCGAGGCTATCTTGGCCTCACCTTTCAGCCGGTCTCGCGAACCGGAGAGAGCAACAACGCCGGGCTATTCTCTCCTTCACCCTCTCTTTCTCTCTGTCTCTCTCGCTCCCTCTCGACGACGTCTCATTGTCCGCGTCCCCTGTATACCCGTCTATACACCGGTATCCTTTATCTTAATTCTATTACACTTCGCGACGCGACGCGAAGCGACACGGCCTACCAACCCCGGTAATGCATCCCCTAACTCGCCGACTACCCTCCGACCAGCCTCGTCACTGTAATTTCGTGCGAGCTACTTTGACGTGTCCTTGACTTGCGCTTGGAAACCACCCTTCTGTCTTGGGCTCGTAGGCCCCTTATTCAGCCGAGGCGATTCAACCGCTCCCCGCGAGCCTATCGTTAACGGCGACGGCTCTTTGGCGTTCGCTTCTGTAATGGCAACCCGTCGCTCCGGGTATTTTATTCGATTTCCTCATTGTCCGACGATCGCGGCGACTAATTAGCCCTTTCATCCCGCGAACCGACTCGCCGGTAAATAATACGCGCTCGATAGGCTGAGTTAGGGGGTCGTTTATCCTGGCCACCTGGAGTTTCGCGAGTTCTACTTAAAAGGCATTTCTCGAGTCATACTTTGGTTTCTCTTGTAATCGGGGATTATAAAATTTTGCAACGCCGTTGGCTTTTATCGTTCGAGAATGCCCACTATTCGCCGTGCTACTGGTAGCGTTCGATATTTACAAATCCTTCGTCTCATTGTGCCCGTCGTGCATCACCGAATGTTAATCACTGCAATAAATAGCCGATGAATTATCGTTGTAACCCGTGGCGGTACAATGGGAATACGCATTGTATTATTAATATATACAGTCGCTCTATTTACGGGCTTGTCATCTAGGTTTCCACCATTTTAATGATAACATTCGATACCGGCGTTCGGTAATGTTTAATGAACAGTATAGATTCCGTAATATCTATCAACGATAGCGCGGCATCCATTCGAAAATAAATAGGGTGCGCCGATGATGAGGGCTTTCTATGCCCGTGGCGATTTTCCGAATAATAATTAATACGATCGGTCGAGATAACGCGAATCCGCAAGTTGCATCCGCGATACCGTGCCGCTTCCAGCGCGGATCCGCCGCGTCTAAACGTTCACCGGCCGCGACACGAGGGTCTGGCACGAATCGCAACAAACTAACGAGCTCGTTTCTGTTACAGAGAGGTACGACACAGCGTACGCCTGCGAGGGCAAAACACTGTTCATCGAGTGCGACGAGGGAAAGCTGATCCACCTCATCAGAGCGAACTACGGGAGGTTCTCGATAACGATGTGCAACGAGCACGGGAACACCGACTGGAGCGTCAACTGCATGTCGCCCAAGTCCTTCCGTGTGCTGAACAGCGAGTAAGTTTTTCGTTCGACGTCCTTTGCTTCCCACGTATGTAATACATGTACACGAATGAGATACCACGAACAATCTGTCCCCCCCGATTTTTTTCCCACTTCCCCACGATCCCATCGCGGCGCATAGAACCGCGGCGTCGAGGAATCGAGTTGCCAATACCGAATTCCCCTCCCCCGCATTTCCGACGGGGGTCGTAGCTAGCCGGCTAACCCCGGAGCAGCCGGCTAGTCGGCCGATCGTTCCATCCGTAGGAAGGGAAAACGAACGAACGCGGTAAGAAAGAAAAATTCGGGACGCGGGCAGACATTTTCTACCGTTAATGAGTCGAGCAGCACCAATTAAAGGAGACGTCCGATCCGATCGAGCGTAGATCGCACTTGTCACTCCTGGACCCGGGGGTTATCGAGCGAGATCCGACTTTCCACGTGGATCGATATCTAACCGGCGATGCTTTTACGACCGCTCCTCCGGCACGGAGATATCCCCAGCCATGACACCTGGAGCCACGGCTCGTTCCCTCGCCGCGCTGGGTAACGAGAAACGCTTCCTGCACCACCGCCGCGGCTCCGTGTATATCGATCATAGTCTTTCGACGACCTTGCCACGCGGCGGGGGTAAGGGGGCCCCGATCCATACGATCTATCTGCTTCGGATCGCGATCCGATCTCCCTCCGCGCAGAAGCGATCGGACGGTACGATCCGCCGCGGAATGAAAAATTATTAACCGTCGGGTATGCGGAAATCCGAGCCAGAGGATTTCGCGCCGGTGAAATTGTGGTAACGGTCTTGCGAACGAGCCGCGCTCTAATCAGGGGAACGTTTCCTTGATTTCGTGTGTTGGCCGTTTCGCAAGTATGGTTTCCTTGGATCCGATTGCGGTGAAGATAATTGGTAACGAATTACTAGTCGATGGGATGCATTTGATTGAATGAACGCTGTTGATGAGATTGTTCCTCGATGGAAGTGTTATCGATATTTTGACACGCGGAAGGTCGTGTCATTGTCTTTTATGTTTTAAATAGAACGGAGAGGATTTGTTTGTTAAAGTATCGAATATGGAGCGTGAGAAAAAGAAAATTAGAAATAGTAATAGTATTGGAATATTTAAAATAGAAACAAGGGTGAAAATATACTACTCAGAGTACAACGAAGGATTGAGGAAACCATCCGATGCGAAGATACGCCACAGTTTTAATCGATCGCCGTCCATACGGAATTTGATCAACGTTCGACGAAAGGGAAACAGGGAAAACAGCGCTGGCATTTTCAGTGTTCACCGGTTTCGAGCGTTTCCGCGTCAAAAACCGGAATCGCGCGCGGATTTAAACGGTTAATCAAGTTTCCGCGAATAAAATATTCCCGGGGGCGCGTTCGTGAAGCAATAAAAGCCGAAGAATGTTTAATTAAATACGCCCGGTCCAGGAATAATTCTCCTCTTGGCAGGAAGAGCATTCGGCCGACGTTCATTAGCTTTCTCGTGCTGCTGCGCGCGTATAAACGCGGTGCCCGGAAACCGGGGGAACGCCGTTGCGTTCGACGACGCGACCGGTGTCATTTTTCGGAACGTGAACGATCGGCCGCGAAAGCGAATCGGAAGATATTCGGTTCTGCGAACTCGGTTCCTCGACGCAAGCGGTTCTCCAGCCACCTACCCACCGAAACCTATCCCCTGTCCAACGGAAATGGAGCAAAGAAGCACGGAGTCGAGATCGCAAGGAAATATAGGATAGAGGATGGAAGGGTTGGAAGAAGGATATATCCAGGGAAGGAAGGAAAATGAGGAAGGAGTGGACGGCTTCATATGGTCCGGCGAACTGGCCAATTGCTTGACCATTGAAGAGCGTATTTCGCGGCGGATCAGTGCGATAGGAAGAATCGCAAACTCAGCGATCGCTTCTCTATCCTGGTCACCGCGAACATCCACTCTATTTCCTTCGATCTCCGTGTCCGTGCGATTTCTTACACTCACATACACACACGTACACGTTCACAGGCGCACGTATGTTACTCCGTGCGAGCCACACATCGAATCATACGCGTCGCCACGCGTATTTCCGCGCGTCATACCATCCACATCCCACGAGATCCCTCGACCCAATCTTGACGAAATATCCTGATTCTGTTCTTTGTTTTTTCTCTCTACAGTCTTCCGTGTTTTGTTTGGTCTTCGTTGTTAAATCGTGGACAATATCGGTGGACCGAGTCGACTGTTTTGAAATCATGGATGGAGAGAAGAAATCGAGAGAGAAAGGAGAGATAGAAGAAATCGAGGGAGAAAGAGAGATAGAGAGAGAAAGAGAGCGGGAGAATAGCGGTACGGAAGACGTGGAATTTTGCGACGGTACGCGTTTAGGCGCCGTGATTAATAGTCCCTTGGCGGAAATTGGTTTCGTTTCGAGTGGAACAACGTTCGGCGCGTTGATAAGACGGGCGGCTTGACGTTGGTGTGAATAATTGGCCGAGATAATCGCGATGACGAATCGAAATCGCGTCCGGCAACGTTTATCGTCACGGCTCGGACAAGAAACAACGAACAGAGCAGCCCGGTTTCTTGTCGTCGATTATATCACTGAAAAGTTGGAAGAAAGCGCAACGTAACCGCGGACAAGAACCGCCAAGGTCGCGTTAAGATCAAATTGCGGCTGCTCGCCGGCTCTCCTCGAGCACCTTTTCAAGAAAAACGCGTTTCAAGTTGAAGCACCGTCTAAGGACCCGGCCGGGGTAATAACTTTCCGATTAACTTTAACTGGAGAAGTTCCGTCGCGTCGAGTCGCGTCGAGTCGCGTCGAGTCGCGTCGCGGCCTCGTCACACGTACACGTCCGTCGCGATTCCACACTCGCGCGCTGCCAGTGCGACTCGCGTTTCGCAAGACGAGCCGAAGGAGTTCGACGTCAATTTAACTCCTTTCCACGGAATCGATCGGGGAGATCGCTGATCGTAATCTACCCCTCGCGTACATTCGTTATCTCTCTCTCTCTCCCTCTCTCTTTCTTTCTCTTTCTCTTTCTCACTTTTTCTATCTCTTTATCTTTCTTTTCCTTGGCGTCTATTCTCCTTTCCACGTTTCTCGTCCCGCAAATCAATCTAGACCAACAATCTCTTTTTCTCTTTGTCATGTCGCAAAAGCACATTCTCGTGGGATCGAGAAATTTCGCAAAAGATCGTCGACTATTACGGTTCGCCGATACTAGATGCATTCAAGGAGGCATAACCGTTTCCAACTTCGGAAAGTAGGTATGCTTTTCGGATTTTATTACAGCACAACGGCTCAGTTGAAGTTTACTGTTTCCTTTTTAACAGCTTTAATGCTATATTGTAAACCATTCAAATGAAAAGTCTGAGTCCGAGAACCTTTTTTGTTTTCCGAAAGTTGTACAGGCGAGTATAACCAACGTTCGAAATTTAAAGCCGATTGATCGAACGTAGCCCGAGTTTTCACGTCTACCATGAAAAGCAAGTATTTAGTTTGGTAAAATGATGTAATTTCACCGTTTCGTTTTTTTATTTATTTGTCTGTTTCTGAAACGGTTATTCCCCCTTGATCCCGTGCCTTATTCTATCGAATTATATTCGAGACGAAGAGTCATAAGTGAATAGTTGCAAAAGAAATATTAAAGCAGAGGTTTAAAAACGTATTGAAAGCGGTATTATAAACAGTGTAACAGACGAGACGGTTCACGATGAAAGCGAGAAAAGATATTTAGAGACATATTTCCAATCTGGATCCGGTATTCCCTGGGTCATCCTCGCTTTCGTGTTTCAACAAATCAGAACGAGAGAACAAGGAATAGGTTTTTAATCTATAACCAACGGAATAAAATCTTATCGCGGTTGTTCTCTTTGCCTCGGTTGCCTTCGAAACCGTCTGATCTGTTACGCGAAAGATTTTCTCCCGGCGAAACGAGAATCAACGATGCAACGGCGCCACAGTGTTCGACCGCGTCATAAATACAGTTGAAAAAAAAATTAACCCATCTCTCGATGCTCGCCACAGTAAATCACGGAATTTTATTTCCATCGATTCGTGCTGCGATAGAAACGTAGTATCGCGGGACGCAACGGTAAATCAACGAGCGAGAATCTACTTAGAGATTTCGAGGGATTCATTAATTTTCTTTCAACTGTATCGATAAACGGCAGTCCGAGATCCGAGAAGTTTCACCGTACGAATCGTACTTCCATACTCGCCGCTTTTTTTTTCGTTTTCTCCCCGCTGGATCCTTCCCCGATAATCGCTCCATTGTAACGTCTAACCAGTTCCGTCCTCTAACACGGGGTGTGGTTTTGCGCAAGGTGCATCGAACCCGATAAGAATTCACACGCACGCACAAACTCGCTTCAAACACTTAACGCAAGGTGTTCTGGGTATACCTCGTTACGTCCCGTTCCAAAAGATCCTTTGTCGTAGCGCTTCCCGCGAACAAGAGTTAACCTTCTTAACATCATTAACGACTGCTAGCGCAAAAACGCAACGCTGTCTCTCTCGTCCGTTGGAACGTTCGGAACCGTTTCGCAACGGGTTCCGAGCCGAAAACGGGATTTCGAAATTTAAGCGAGAACCAACTTGATCCGAATAGAAATCCTCGCGTGTCAGTGGAAGGCCCGCTCTAACACTTCTCCTTAACCATGGTACCCCTGGGATTCCCCTCGAAAGGTAAGCAAAATGGAGCAAGCGTATCCTAAGTGTCAGGGGACAAGTAGTTCGCTGTAATTCTCTCGGCGACGGTAACCACTCACTCTCTCACCCCCTCTTTTCTCGCAAACTACCAGTAGCCATCTCCTCTTAACGCATTCACGTTATCTCTTGTGTAGCGATACCGGAGTTTATATAGTCTGTCTCTTTCCCTCTCTCTACCTCTGTGTCTCTGTCTCCTGCTCAGCCTGGTAGCTTCCCCGCGCTTTCCGCGTTTATCTACTCCGATTGTGCGAAGATCTGTTAATCTCTCTCTCTCTCTCTCTCTCTCTCTCTTAACGCCGCGGGCAATCGCCATTTACGGG